AAAGGAAAATCACCTGGTAGTTGTTACTCGCAAGACAGGCCGTATGGATCATCCCCACCTATGGCCTGCCGCTGTGTATTAGGTGGTGCAGGTGATGAAATACGATCATATGATTAAGTTATCGAGGTGTATTTGTTGCCATACATTATTTGTTATGTAACTTGCTTTTCGTGGAGATGCTGTACAAGCATGCCTTGTGGTATTACCAGTTCATTACGGCGGGGCGTGTCTCCGGCGCGGCGTACGTGGGGCAGAGGTGGAAGGCCCGGGAGTTGGTGGACCTGGGGAGCGCGGGCACTTCCTGGAGCAAGGATGGCGCGACCAAGATTCGCTCGTAGATCTGGGTACGGCTGGGCCGGCCGCCCGCAGGTGTGGATGTGCCTGGGTCCTCGTGGCTGACTTCAAGGCGAGACCCTCCCGAGCAGTTAGTGTGAGGTAGCGGGATTTTTGTGGGTATCCTGTACAGTTTTTATGTTTGTTAAATGTAAATGGACTTCCCGTAAGTGCTTGTAACTCAGATGGGCCTAACGGACATATATATTCCGTCGTAGATATTGTTGTTGTTTGCCATGCGAAGTCCACTCTTATGCGAAGAGATAAGTAGATAAGCGTGTAAGTGTAGCGAATAGCGCGAAGCGAACTCGGCACACGATCAGGTGGACCCTTCGGGCGCAGTGAGTAGTGGTGGCACCAGAGCTCCGCCCACCTCTCTTTAAGGAGTGGATAGGGCGCCCACCTGGTTGCCATATTTGGAAGCTCGCCTGGATGGTGGTCACGGCGCTACGACGAAGGGCGTCACGTATGAACGTTTCGTCGACTGGGTTTCGCGGGTGTGAAGAAGCGGCGACTAATAGCAGGACTTCGCCGAATGACTGTCGGCGATTGCATTGATCTACTGGGATTTACGATTGATTTTCATGCAGTAATAATGCAAATGTTTATCTCAAAAATAACAATGTGTTTATTTTGTTTTATGCGATTATGAAACGAATGTCACTCCCATGACGTGAAATATACCTATGTCACCCCCAAACCTTAGTATTTCCAAAGCAATATAACCGTACAGAGGCATTGTGCAACATTGTCTTTGCGTCAAAACACGTCAGTCACTGTTGCGTTACATTTTTATTCAGCTGTGCGACTTCCTGTTATTATTTTGTGAGGGCAGAAAGGAGGAAGTAAGAACTGAACTCCGGGATTGATTGGAAACTCATTTTGTGTGTTATGGAGGCATGCCATATCGATGGCTCAGAATACCTTTTTATTATAGATATCATGCAAAAAGTATTGGATTGTTGTGTTATTTTTATCTTTGCACTACGATTATACTGAAGGTGTTTTCCATGTCCTGCTAACCTGCCTTGTCGTCGTGAACAACAGAAATCCATACACAAACATCTTGCACACCTTTAGATCCTTTGAATGATCATTATAACAAGTATTATTAACGGTCTGACATCTTCACCATGATTCTTGGATTGTTCTTGAAAGTTGTGGAAAAAAGCATCTGTGGAAATGGATATGAGAGAGACGTTAGATGAGAATGAATCTGACGATAATCGATGTTAAGTTAGACACAAGAAAATCGTTCTTTTAACCTGAGGCATCGCTGATGGTGGCATGACCAAAAGGCAGGAACGTAGTTGGTGTGATCAGAAAGGCACCGCGGGACCAGTGACAAAGAAAGAATCCACTCCCACCAGTCGAAGAATGTCGCCCTCGATGATGTTTGCGGTGGGGCCGCGTCCACTTATGGCGTCACAGCCTTGAACCGGCAGCTCACTCGCGCCGCCGACGCTACGGTCCGCGCCCGACCATCCCGGCGACAGCCCTTGTCTATCCGTCCTTGAGCAGTAAGCTAATGCGGTGTCTGCCACTTCAGTTGTTGTTCTATCTAGCCATTAGCTATTATGTATGTCCGCCGTTTACCTGTCATCGCAGAGTTATTTGTCAAAAGCCATGTTTACAGTCACGATAGTTTCTAAACAAATATCAGCTGCATGGTATCTCGAGGGGTCGGTGCGATATTTCCGTCGCCTTTCCTCCCCCTCCTCGTCCATCCACGTGTACACGGTTACTTGTCTCCGTTTGCAGAAGGGCTTAGGGGGCACCCGTATCTAAGCCTTGGCCTTTAGAGGTTGTTTCACGGCGAGGCTGGAGTTCGGGCGGAGAGATTCCCATGCGTTTGGGTGATATGGCGAGCGAGCGGGAGGGCGGCCCTTTCGGACGCTCACGGCGGAGGAACGTGGCGGGGGGGGGGGGGGGATCCCTCATAGCGATGCACACGTTTACTTTATTCAGTGGAGACATATAAATATATATTTTTAATGAGTGTGAATTCCATAAGTGTGCGGTTATGATTGTTGACGCTGATGCAGGTGAGACTAGAAAGTCGTATTAATTAGAATCAGAATGGATATTTAGTATACAACAGGTTCAGTGATCACAGGTGTGGAGTCAGATATATCAGGTTAGGTACACTTTGCGGTTTATAGTGACAGTTTGTGAAGAGAAAGCATGGCATCTTGTTCATGACTAGTAAGTTGTGTCGAAAGAAATATTAATTAGAGAAGTTAAATTGCTGTGTCCGTGGGGCAAGTCGCGGGCAAGGGAATATTGCCAGCGGGACTCATATCAGCTGGCTGTATTTTTTTGTGGAGTCAAATTTTACCTTCTCATAAAACGAAAAAGAGGGAAGCCATCAAGGCAGGAGAGGAGCGGCGCAAGTACCTCTCCTTCCCGCCGCTCGACGCCCGCTCTGTGTTCCCACGAACCGACACTTTCTCGCTGGAATTGCGTGTTCTTGTTTACGTCTCCTGCTCCTTCTTTCCCTCCCTTACCTCCTTACCCCCCTCTCTCTCTCTCTCTCTCTCTCTCTCTCTCTCTCTCTCTCTCTCTCTCTCTCTCTCTCTCTCTCTCTCTCTCTCTCTCTCTCTCTCTCTCTCTCTCTCTCTCTCTTTCTCTCTTTCTCTCTCTCTTCCTCCTTCCCTCCCTCCCTCGCTCTCCGTTCCTCCATCACTCACTCACTCATCAGCCCCCTCCCCCTTACTCCTAACCTCTTCCCCCGAAAAATAATATTTTGTGATAGGCATGGAAAATATTAGCTAATTATAGTGTCCAAACAAGTGCGATTTTTCTGCTATTGGCTGGGCTACTTTATTGTGTTTGTGGGTTTGAAAAGGAAAGGATTATTGGAAATCTGATACGAAATTGCCACAATGTAAATGAAGAGCGTTGGGTGTATCATGTCTGGTATTAATTTGTATGACGATTATTTTACACCTGGCAGGGACCTTCGGTAACATCCTGTCTGAAGGAACTGAGTAGGTGGCTGCAGCAAGTTGGGCCGTGCAAGTCACTACAAATATGGGTTGTTCTCATTGCAAAAGTATGAAATGTTTTCGTTGCCAGTTGCATGTCAAGGAGGATCCTTTGAACTTTTTTATTGGAGAATGTGTGTTCGTAAAACTTTTGGTCGATTTGGTGAACACGAACGACTAAACGCTAATTACGAAGTTGTTTCAGGTTTCTACTGAATTATTATTTCACGAATAGTGCATTTATTGAATTAGAAATTAGTTTCCACTTCTGAAATTTCATTTCACATTATTTATTATATGTAGTCTTAGTCAGTTTAATAAAAGCTAAAGTTATTGTACATTCATCATCTGGAAACTAGAGCCGCCAGTGGAATGGCAATGGCAAACTTTTGAATCTGACTTCACATAACAGCATATGAGCTTTTATTTGCAAAGCTATTGCAAAAGTTTCCAGAATTGTTTTTAAGGTCGAGAGTACGTGGGGTTGCAGTAGAAACTAGTCTGGGTCGCAAACAACGTGTCTTGAGCAGGTAATGGCTACAAGCCGAGGGAAACCTTTTCCATGTACAGGTTATTCTGGTCTAGAAAGCTACCGCTCCTTCCGCCGGCTGTGGCGTTGCCGTGCGAGCATGCTTGCTCGTATGAGCCGATGGAGGTGAAACTTGGGTCGGAAATCTCCCCTCATAGAGCGTTTGGTTGTGCCTGTGACGCATTGAAGCATGCTTGGAAGTAGGCTTTACTTAATCTTCCCCGCGGATGTCTCCATAACAACAAAACTCAAAACTTAGGATCTGCCCAATTTGTGAGATTCGTGAGAGCCAAAAGTACGTGAAAGAGACTCTTGTAGCCTATAAGTATAGGATAGAGGAGTTTTAATGACAAAGTACTGGTGAGACGGGGTGCCGACCTCACAATGCATGGCTAACTTTCTCCAACTCCCTTCTGTCATTACGTTGGAGTCACGTAGACGCCGCCGTTGCCCTAGGCTGTAGTAGCTTTGCTTAAAAATAATGTAGTAAATTAGCCAGTTTTCCTGTTTCCAGGATGAACCATAGTCATGATCATTAATTTTCAAGGGAATTTACTGATATACGTTTACTTACCGGGGGCTTTGATATGTATGATAGAGTGAGTGCGTGCGTGAGTGAGAATGTGAGAAAGTGAGTGTGTTTCTTTGTTTATTTAGGGTATTGGGCATTTAACTTTTTCAAGGGCTTTTACTAAATAAGAAGCTAAGGTTTACATGAAACCTTGACATGCACATAGGCTGCTGTGTTACTTAGTTTGTAAAAGTTAGCACGTGTGTTTTTTCCTTCAAGTTTCCTTGAAGTTAATGGGCATAAAAAAGAAAAACTAATTGGGCATCATTTTTGCCATTTTTACTTACTGTCATTGTAATTGTTCATACTGCTAATATTATGATTGCATTTTTCTCGGCATTATGATTGTTGTTGTTTTTTATGTGTATTATTATTTTTTATTATAGTATCATTATTATTTTTTATTATAGTATCATTATTATTTTTTATTATAGTATCATTATTATTTATTATTATTATTTCCATCATTATCATAATTGTTCTCTCTATAATTATTGTTACTATTATTTCATAATCATTATCGTTATTATCTTTATTGTAAGTAGCTAAAAATTCTGACCATAGCAATCTTCATCCTCAGAGTCTATCAGGCCACACAACACCAGTTGAATGTGTGCGTTTTGGTGGATCCGAGGAACTGGTGTGCGCCGGGTCCCTGAGTGGTGCACTGAAGATATGGGACCTGGAGGCCACCAAAATTGTCCGGACACTGACCGGACACAAAGCGAACATCAGGTGCATAGACTTCCACCCATATGGGGACTTCATTGGTACAGGCTCCCTTGACACAAACATTAAGGTGAGAGAGTTGGTTGTGGTAAGAAGTCTGCTTGAATAGTTATCTTCTGTCTTCTTTGCGCCTTTTTAATTTTTTTTTTTTACTTGTTTCATATATTATTTGTGGTAAACTAATTACTTGCTACAAGTTCTAATTTATATTATATTATGTCAGTCTCACATGTGGTTTTTATGCATTATGTAATTTTGTTTTGATGGATTTCACTCTTAATCATTTTCATAAAGGAATGCCAAAGATTTTGTTATTTAACAATACTTATTTTATCTGCAGCTGTGGGACATTAGACGGAAAGGTTGCATCTTCACATACAAAGGGCACAACCTAACAGTCAATAGCCTGAAGTTTTCCCCAGATGGTCAGTGGATAGCATCTGCTGGAGAAGATTGCAATGTGAAGGTAAATATTATACAATTAGTTAATGGACCTAGGCATTGTGTTTCTAATTTAGATTCAGACAGTTCAAACAGTCCAGATGGGTATGTGTACATACAGTCTAATAATGCCTTGATAATAATACCTCTTGTTTCTTGCAGTTGTGGGATCTTCGAGCTGGCAAAATGATGACAGAATTTGCCCAACACACTGGGCCTGTTAGTGATGTAGAATTCCATCCTCATGAATTCTTATTAGCCTCTGCATCACATGATAGAACTGTAAACTTTTGGGATCTAGAGAAATTTTCTCTAGTCTCATCCACAGATGCTGATACAGGACCCATCAGGTAAGATAGGAAGGTTATCATATTATTATGACTGAAGGTGCTCTTAAAGTGTAACTTTTTTTAGAGGCTATATAAAAATAAGCATTCTTTCATTAATATTTGACTTATGTAAGGTTCAGATAGTAAACATGCTCATTGTGAATATACAAGACAAATTTTACTTAATTTCTATTGGACACAGGTGTCATTGTGTAGATTTTGATCTCCAGATTCCAAACATACAACTCACTTTTTGTTGATGGAAGCGGTTGTTTATTTGAGCTAATTCCCCCCATTTGTGTCTTTTGAGAGTCAAGAATTCTTGGAATATTCTGTATGCAGTAATTGATAATAGACAAGTTTTAGGAGGTGGAATATCTCTTGAGTTATTAGTGAGTACTGGCATCAGCTTGGATCAAAGCTAGATAGAAAGGAACTGTCCACCCAAAACAACATCTTAGTGTACTTGTTCCTGGGCCATGAAACTAACTTTGATGTTTGAGAGATAAATCAGGTTATCTATAATAAGTTAAATAAGATGAATATTTCAGAAGTATCATAGAAGATAAACATATATGTTTTTTTCAGAACAATTGCCTTTCATCCTGATGGTGATTGCCTGTATGCAGGATCTCCTGACATTCTCAAGGTGTATGGCTGGGAGCCTGCCCGTACATTTGACACAGTTGCCATGGGTTGGGGCAAGATTCAAGATATTGCCATTGCCCAAAATCAGCTTGTAAGTGTTTAAGCATTGTTTTTTTTATTGCTGGTTAGTCACTCTCTGAATGATTCGAAACATAATTTGTATGTAGAAATTTTTATTTAGAAATAAAAAATCTTTGCTCCTCAGGGAAAAACAAAACAAAAAGCAGTCAAGTTATTCACTTTTACTCTTTCAGATTGGAGCAGGTTTTCATGGTGTGCATGTGTCTCTCTATGTGGTTGATTTGAAGAGGGTTCAGCCCTTTGGTGGGCCCCAGCAAGACGTCCCATCAACTTTCAGACATGGTGCAGCTATACGCAAGAGTTTTATCAAGGACAAAAACTCTGGAAAGGCTACGTAAGATACACTTCAATAAATGTTGCTATTGTTATCTCGACTGGATAGTAGGGTCTAGCTATGGGTAGTGTGATGAGTAATTTGATTATTTTTTAAGAGGTTGTTGTTGATTATATTGTAGGGGGGATTCATAATATCTGGTATTGAAAAGGAAATCCTAGATTATTTAGCTGGCTCTGAAGAAAATTGTGGGCATATAATATTAGGTCTCTGAGAGTATGGAAATTTATATTTGATGCCAAATGTAAATTTCAGAAAGGGGACCAATCTTTATTTTTCTTGTATACTCTTCCAAATACAATAGTTACAGGAATTTATATCAGAAACATATAGCAGACTTTTTCCTTTCTGAACAGTTCATATACTTTGCCAAAAGAATTCTGTAAAGTGCCATGAATTTAATCCTTTTGCTATATAATCAGACACATTATCATCCAGAAGACTATAAAAATGTTAAAATGATCAAGAATATTGTACACATTTGTTAATCATTAACAACCTACTGTTACAGAGCGGAATCCATGAAGACCGAAGAAGCCTCAGACACAGGTGGTGAGGAGCCGCAGGAGGAGGACCCGCCTCCAGAGATCACAAACCTAAATGATTACAATTCAATCTTCCAGACCAGGAGAGAGTGTGAGTGTTGTCTTATGTCCTACCTCTTCTCTCTGTGCTTTTTTTTCTCTAATCTTCCTCTTCTCCAACAATACCACGGTGTAGACATAGGATTGCAGGAAGTCTTGATATTTATTGATTTATTTTTAACGTGCCTCTTTTTCTCTTTCATCATTTTTGATAGAGCTTATCTATTATCTATCAAGCAGGTTTTGTTATTATTAACTTTTTTTCTTTTTATAGCATGTTTTGAGTCAGTTTGGCAAAGAATTTTTTTTTCTTTTTTTAAGCAGAAAAATATGGATGAACCCCTTATACTTTCAAGTGCTTGTTTTTTGTCATATTTTTTACATGAAGATTAAATTATCTTTTACGCAATTAAATATAAGATTTTTTCCCCTACACAACATGAATTCCCTTAGTAATGATACTCTTATCATATTAAGTAAAGTATACACAAATAAGCTAATTGTCAGAATGTCAACAGCTTTATGCTTCAACCAAGCCATAATAATTGTGAGAAATTATTTGTGTTCAGCCCTAAATATAGAAGAAGAATGAGAGTTCATTAAATCTTTGGAGAGCAAATTATTGAGATTGTCTTATTGAAGGTAGAGAGGCAAAGCAATATACATGTCCTTAGATGGGATATGCATTTTAAGATTTACCAGTTATCATTATTGTTTCAAGTTGTTGTTAGTATAATAACCTGCATCCTCTTGTCTTAACCATTTTCTACACCAACACAGAAATTTTGCACATGGTCAGTAGGTAACCATTTGCATTTCTCTGTTTACATTATTGTTATTAATCTATTTACGGATTTTCTTCTTTATCTTTGCTGTAGTGCTTTGAATCTTGCTAGTAAGATATTTTCATAATCATTTGTTTTTTTCTTTTATTTTTCCTGTTTTCTTTTGCTGTATTTTTATAACATGTTGTTCATTATGTTGCATAACCATTATGTATGCAGTGTATCTTTCAGAATGCTGAATGCTATTTTATTTTTGAAAAAAGCATGTGCCACATTTCAGAGTATACTGATTTCGTTCTTTTTCTTATATGACAGGGTTTCTTAACCTAGCCAATGTATTTATTTATTTATTTTTATTACTTTTTAGTTTTGTTCTTGTTCTTTCTCCTTCCCCCCCTCATATTGAAGTCTGACATGTGGCTAATTTTGTTTTCTTTTCCTAGTCTTATATGTTTACAATTATATACATGTAAATAGTATGGCTGCCAGTTTTGAAATTTATTATAACCATTGTATTTGTTGTGCCTTTATTGCAGTACAGAGAACACCACCTCTTCCTGAGCCCAAACCTCCCATTAACAATAATAATGGTAGGTAAATGGTTCACAGTCATCATCGTTTCAGAACAGTAGCTTTTCAAGGGTCATGTATGAACCTAAAGAAGCAACTTAAATATCAAAGAACATGGTTTAGAATTTTGTTTTAGTTGTTTATTTTAGATAGGGATACAGTACTTCATGCAGTGTTTAAAAATCTTTAGCAGTTTTGCTATTGCATTGCATCTTGGGATATGAAATAGATAAGATTTAAACAAAACCATGTATAGTAAATAAGATTTAAAATGACTGGACCATCTCCCCTCCTTCTGATACTGATTTTATCCTTGCTTAATTCCAAAGGTATTTTGTAGTTTCCCCCCTCAGTTATATATAAGCTTTTTTGATCAGTGTGATTATCTTTTGCAGAGATTTTTTTTTTCTTTTTCTTTTGGGAAATATAGAAATGAGAATATTTTTCTATTTATACAGGTAACTAATATAAAACTTTCATTGCATGTGTATGAAAGGTAGATAGTGAAGTTTTAAATTAATAGTTGTTCAATTTCATCAGTGTAGAAAAGTCACGTTTTCATAGAATTTTCTTGTAAAATGCAGAAAATAGGATTGATAATATTTTTCACAATATAAAGTAGAAAGCAAAGTGTTTATTTTTACTTATTTAGGTCTAAGAGTGAGTACATTGACCAACGCGGAGTACTCCTAAGAGTTGATGAATTTAGAAATTGATGACTGAAATAGAGGCATTAAATTTCCACAATATTAAATTGAAGAACGTAGTACAGATTAAAGTGGCCATGGATATGTTAGTACTTAGGACAGACTTTCATTTACTTATATGTTGAGATTGTGTTTTGGAATAGGCTTAGATATTTTGTCAGTTTACATGATATTAGCTGGACTTTCAGGGATGCACTATCTACCTTATGGTTATCAGAGAGAATATATAGGGAATTTTGTGCATTGAACTTAGTATGCAAGGATTAATTGCATTTCCAACATCAGTGATATTTGTATTCTGATATTTAGAGGTTTCAGATAAATATAAGTCTAATATCTTTTACCTTTATAAAAAAAAAATCACTTCCCTGAAAGATGGCTACCCAAATTGATTTATTTGAATTCAGTATGATGTAATATTTTCTTCAGTGCCAAATATGTGAATGGACTATAGGCAAGATCTCATCACATGAGTGTGTTACAATTTGTTGATCATCAAAAAAGATCCAATTATTGTAAATAAAAGTAATGATGTGGAAAATAATGTAGACAATACCAGATATCTTAAGGTGCTTACTGTTGGGACCACTTGATCCAGTTATAGAAAAACTCATCTGTTGAAATGCCATAAAAAAAATCTTGTTCCTCCTCCCTGCTCTCTTAGAATTGTGAGGGACTAGGTGCTGCTCCAGCCTCCAGCAAAGTGATGAAAAATCTTAGTGCAGATGTCACAGCTTCGCATGCATGTTCCTGTTAATATGCATGATAATTGTTTCTGATAATGATTTTGTGCATGTTCTTTTCACAAATACAGATCAGTTGGGAAATAATCAAGCTGGTGGAGAATGGCTTTACTGCTGTACCATATGTATTTATGTATATGTATATATATATCCTTCATTTTTGTTGTCCAAGGAAAGCATTTTAGATGATATGTGCAGTTTCCAGGAAGTCACAGATGTCTTCTTATATATGGGGCAGTGAAGAAAATAATATTCAGTGCTCTGTATATATTATTTGTACCTTTTTAGATATACAGCTTAAATTAAACATTAATTTAACTTGAATGAAATGTATGACAAGATGTTCTTATGATCTACAGTTGAAACTGATGCATAATATAGATTTCTTTCTGGTTATTAACCCCATCCTACTGGATGCCTTCTAATCATGTTGCAATGAATTGGGTCAGAAGCTGGGTGGCAGGGACCTGTGCCACATTTGATTGAGCCTGCTTTAAGTTGTGTGGGATAAACAGTCGTAGGCTTGGTCTCTTTTTAGCCTCATTTCCTAAAAAAATGTCTGTGTAAAGAATGGGGTGAATGTATGTGATATGTGCTTTTAAGCGGATGACTGTGTGCATAGCCTGGTATGTGGCTTGCTATGGTGTAGGGAAAATCCTATCATGAATGGTTAAAATAAAAGAGTAAAAAGCCACAATCACCAGCTCTTGGAGTGTGAATGCAGATTAATTGATACACTGTAAATGGTAGCAATTTGTCTTTTGTTGCCCAGGAGGCAAGATGTGTAGATGGCTGTGCACATTATTGATTCAACCAAAGATTATAAGAACATTTAGGAGTTTATATGCTTGCCCAGCTAGACCTCCCTTAGCTTTATCTATTGATAATTTGAATGTATTATCTTCTGTTATTTTCAGTGGAATATGTAGTAAAGTAGGGAGGAACTCCTCTATAAGTGTTATTTTTTTAATATGATACATGCTATTTTTTTCTTCTCTCTAGGATTTTGGGTGAGGTTTAATACTGATAGTCTGTCTCATGCCTGTGTACAAAGAATGGCATGTGAATGTTATGAATATTTAGATAGTAGAAAAGACATACTTTGGTTTCATGGGGAGAATGGTCATGAAACTCCTTAAAAGTTACTGTAGTCAGGCAATTAAAAGACACCTTAAGTTGCTTGAAAAAAATAGTGTTTCAGCCATGGTCATCTTAACTAACATTGCAGGCTGGTCACAGAATGATAAAAAGATTGTTAGAATAAGTTAGAAATAGAGAAAAAAAAAAGTTATCTAAAGTTATCTAAAGAAAACTAACAATAGGTTTTTGGTAATGAAAGTTTGTTATATGTATGATATTTTTTTATGATTTTCTTATTGTTGATGTGATGGAATGAAAATTTGTTCTGGATGTTGCATGCATAAAGAATGATTGAGGAATTTCTAAGACTGTATTGGATACATGTAAAATTGAAAGGCATCTGCACTCATTTTAAAAATTCAGTGATACACCTCATGTGGAGTGAGGTACTTCCACCTCCTTACCAGAAATGGAAAGAAAAAAATACTAAAGACCAAGATCAATAGGAAGGAATCTTCTAAGATAAGAGATCTTTTGATCTTGTGAACATACTGAGGGTTTGGGGTTAGCATTGTTACGGGATAACTACTCTTTTCAGCCTTCTAGAGGATATAACATGTTATTGGTTTATTTCCATTGCAGATCCAATGGTACCTCAAGTTATGACCAGCCCCGATGTCATTCGTCCTGAGCCTTTGAGAGCTATGCCAATACCAACTACTAAACCTTCAACTCCTGACTCAACACGAAGAGGATCATCACACACTGTGTCGCATTTGCCGAGGCCTATACCAACGCCAAGAGAAATTATCACTCCTAGGTCTGTATTTTGTGTAAATATGCGGTGTCCATGCATATTGATTTTAATGTGTTGGATTTTTGTCTGATATTTTTTATTTATATTGACTTGTTTTAAAATCATTCAGAAATAGTATTTTCATATAGTTGTTATTATTTATTTTATTTATTTATTTTTTGAAAGAATGACAGATGAAAGATGACTATTTCTCTGGAAAATTACTTTGCTGTGTACAGTATAGTTCTACTTGTTAGTTGTCTTGCAGCATTTTTATGAGCAGCATTGACATAACAGTCCTTAAGATACCTTTGGTATGAAAGCAGCTGTCAGAATGCATAGTTAGTGAATGTTATTCTTATTTTAAGGAATATGGAAATAATGAAAGCAATCTAGCTAGAATATTTGTCAGAAAGAATAGTGAATTAGCTACTTTTATTCCTGCAAGATTAGGCCTTGTGAGTGTGGTGGAGGTTATACATAAAAGTTATTGAAGTGCCACCTACTGTTTAAAAGACATGAACATGAATGTCCATATTGAATTTAGAAAGACAGGAGATGGATAGTAAACTCTAATTGAAAATGGATCATTCCCTTACACTTAAATACTAACAAAATTATCAAAATTATTCCCAGAGTTTTGATTGTTGTAGTTAAAAAACTTAGACACATATTTTACCTAACCTCTATCATAAAACTATTATGACTAAAAGGCAAAGTGCTAAATTAATATCTCCAAAACTGTCAATACCCCTTTAGATATGACAATGGTAACCAGCCACAGACTCCTCCCTCACACTCCACCAGTTTTCCAAGTCTCTTTGAGAGACGTGGATCCTCCCAGGAACAGTCTAGCTACGTCTCCCCCCACAGGTAACCTTTTGGGAAGAGTTCCTATTACCCATCCTCTATTGTCTTGATAATTGGCATGGTAGCCTTGGACTGGTTAGCCTGTGATCTTATGCCTGCACTGCAAGTCCAGTGTTGCATAACCTATAAATTACCCTACCCTATTGATGCATGTCAGATGTAGCACCCAGAAGTAGTTGTTAGTACCAAAACTCACAGTATAGTAATTACAGTTAGTGTTCAAGTTACACTGTACATAGCTCAACACATGAGGTTGACATGTGACTTAGAATTTTACTATTAACCTCTGTGATATTTTGAGTATATGCATGCATATAGTACAATTTTGATTTGTAGTTTTGCAATAGTTTTTTCAAAACAAATTTAACCATCATTCATTTCTAATGTTAGCTTTTCATGTACTTTAATTAAATGGTACTACATAATAACAAGTACTTCTTTTATATCTGTAAAACAGAAGGAATGGTAAACCCAGGATTTCTTCTTTCTCAGACCCTCTTGCTTTCCACCTCCTCATGAATTTCTGGTTAATCTTACTCCTGAGTGACATTAATTGGTATTGTTGTCATTATTAGTAATAATTTTATTGTTATTATTTTGTTGTTATTATTATTGTTATTATTATTATTTATTATTATTGAATTATTATTATTAACTTATTAATAGTTATTGTTATTACAATTGTGAAATTAGTAGCTATTACTGTTGTTAGTATAGTATTTTATTTTATTTTTTGAAAGAATGACAGATGAAAGATGACTATTTCTCTGGAAAATTACTTTGCTGTGTACAGTATAGTTCTACTTGTTAGTTGTCTTGCAGCATTTTTACGAGCAGCATTGACATAACAGTCCTTAAGATACCTTTGGTATGAAAGCAGCTGTCAGAATGCATAGTTAGTGAATGTTATTCTTATTTTAAGGAATATGGAAATAATGAAAGCAATCTAGCTAGAATATTTGTCAGAAAGAATAGTGAATTAGCTACTTTTATTCCTGCAAGATTAGGCCTTGTGAGTGTGGTGGAGGTTATACATAAAAGTAATTGAAGTGCCACCTACTGTTTAAAAGACATGAACATGAATGTCCATATTGAATTTAGAAAGACAGGAGATGGATAGTAAACTCAAATTGAAAATGGATCATTCCCTTACACTTAAATACTAACAAAATTATCAAAATTATTCCCAGAGTTTTGATTGTTGTAGTTAAAAAACTTAGACACATATTTTACCTAACCTCTATCATAAAACTATTATGACTAAAAGGCAAAGTGCTAAATTAATATCTCCAAAACTGTCAATACCCCTTTAGATATGACAATGGTAACCAGCCACAGACTCCTCCCTCACACTCCACCAGTTTTCCAAGTCTCTTTGAGAGACGTGGATCCTCCCAGGAACAGTCTAGCTACGTCTCCCCCCACAGGTAACCTTTTGGAAAGAGTTCCTATTACCCATCCTCTATTGTCTTGATAATTGGCATGGTAGCCTTGGACTGGTTAGCCTGTGATCTTATGCCTGCACTGCAAGTCCAGTGTTGCATAACCTATAAATTACCCTACCCTATTGATGCATGTCAGATGTAGCACCCAGAAGTAGTTGTTAGTACCAAAACTCACAGTATAGTAATTACAGTTTTAGCATGTACCTGAAGCCAAGGTTTGGAAATGTATTAGTGGTTAGTATAGGAATGTTCAGAGAAAGAAGGTAAAGTCTTTGTGAAATAGTTGTTCATTATCATGAGGCTCACTTTTGTCTATGTTATGAAGACTTGTGGAGTATAATCATTTGTCTAAAGTTCCATCAGTGCCTCAAGGAATGCTTTGTTCCTTAATTGAATGAATAAATATATTATTATGAATAAGGAACTATTTGCCATCATCACTCATTGGCACGAGTAAGAAGGAAAATATATTAATAAAAAAGACCGCAAATATATATTGAATGAACATTTTGTATCTACAAAAAAGATATGGAGAACTGAGAATTTACTTGCTTTCATCAAGTAGAAAATTAGATTTTTCTTAACCAAACAAACAAACAAACAAAAAAATATATATATATATGAAAAGTGTGTATGGAAGTGGATCCTTTCAAACAGTTTACAGGATCAGAGGTGTAACAAGTATGGTAGTTTGAATATCTGTTCCTTTATTAAAGTAAATTATTTATTAATGGAATTTAGAAATGGGAATGCATTTGTTTAATTACAGTCAGTTTATAATTCGGAAAGATATCACATGCACAGTGAGTAGGGAGAAAGTTTTGCCAATCTGGAACTAAAGAAAAAATAAGTGTAATGTATATATTAATATTTGTTCAAGTTACACTGTACATAGCTCAACACATGAGGTTGACATGTGACTTAGAATTTTACTATTAACCTCTGTGATATTTTGAGTATATGCATGCATATAGTACAATTTTGATTTGTAGTTTTGCAATAGTTTTTTCAAAACAAAGTTAACCATCATTCATTTCTAATGTTAGCTTTTCATGTACTTTAATTAAATGGTACTACATAATAACAAGTACTTCTTTTATATCTGTAAAACAGAAGGAATGGTAAACCCAGGATTTCTTCTTTCTCAGACCCTCTTGCTTTCCACCTCCTCATGAATTTCTGGTTAATCTTACTCCTGAGTGTCATTAATTGGTATTGTTGTCATTATTAGTAATAATTTTATTGTTATTATTTTGTTGTTATTATTATTGTTATTATTATTATTTATTATTATTGAATTATTATTATTAACTTATTAATAGTTATTGTTATTACAATTGTGAAATTAGTAGCTATTACTGTTGTTAGTATAGTATTTTATTTTTATTTATTACTGACACTCTTGTGCAGTTCATAAGAGATGTAGCACACATTTGTATCAATAAATGCTAAGAAATTAATAAATTTGGGTAATATGACATTAACATCATTAATAATATTTACTCTATGATTTGTAATACATAAGACAGGACTTGCAGTGTGAAATGGGTCTCGGAGGAAGGCAGAAGGTAGCTTTATGGTTTGTAGTCATCTTTATGGATTATTTAGACTATTATTTAATTTATGTATTACAGGGATTATTCACTAAGTGGAAATGCAAGCCCTAACTTGAGTCAGCCATACAGAGCTCGTGCAGTGTCTGAGAGTAGAAGAGATTCAAGAGAGCCTTCCAGTTCTTCACATGAAGCAGAAGGAAATAGGTTGGCTGTTTTCTAATTATCAGTACTGTGTTATGTTGAATATCAGATTGTTGGAAATGTAATAGAAGCTTTGTTCATTTATTGCTATCATTTTAACCGTTTCTAGTTTTGACAGGTATGCTATCAGGCACAGCCCATCTGAACCTTACCTGGTGAGACAGTCCTCTTCACCAGGCCCTCCAGTCTCATCACCAGCATACCATGATTCAGCACCACACTTACCACAGCTTCCTCGACCAGATCTTACGAATCTTAACCGAACACAAGCTTCATCGAAACCTGACCTTACCTCTCATTCCAAGCCTATGGACCGGCCAGCCTTAGTAAAACCTACATCAAGGGTTCATGGACCTCAGAGCCCTGATGTGTCATATCTAAACACTCCCAAGAATATCAGTCCAGATATATCATATATGGGAACACCCAAGGAACCTCCAGATTATGGTTATAGTCAAGATAAAATGAATGACATTGAATATAGCTCCTCATACTCAACAGATAATGGAACTATCAACTTTGAGGACTTTTTACCAGTAAGTATCATAACTTCAAGAATGTTTAATGTATCAATAGTACCCTGAAGGGGGTTAAAATCAAATTTTTGCTATAAAAATAATTTTCTTCTTACAAATTGAAAATATCTGTACAAGTGTAAAATGTCTTTCTAATGATATAATCACATTTAAAATTACTTCAGCTGAAATTGAGAAATTAATTACCAAGGAATTTAAAAGTCGTGTCTAGGAAAATTAGAAAACTGGAAATTATGTATTATTTTCCTGCCTCATTTATTTTTGTAACTCAGATATTAGAGCATCATCAAAGTCTTCATCATTTTATCTATATTTTGTCATTTGCTGTCCCCTTAGTGTTAATGATTTTTACATCTTTTTAAAAATATATAGGATATGTGTATTCATTATGAAGTTTTATTTCTTAATAAAATGCAAATCTCTCCAACAGAACAAGCTGAGTGGACTAGGGTTTGGCAGCAATGGTGTTACTGGTATTGCAGGAAATGAAATGTCAGAACAAGAAGTTTTATCCAGCATTATGCGTGGTCATTCTTCCATGATGTCTGTCATATCTGCACGGACAAGGGGGCTACAAGTCACACACAAACTGTGGCAGACAAAAGATTTGAAAACTGCTGTAGATCATGCACTGAACTCTGGAGACCAAGCATTACTTGTTGATCTTCTTGGAATTATTAACCTAAGACCGTAAGCATTTTCTTAAGTTTGCAGAAAAATTATATGAAAGGTTTATATTACGAAGTCAAAGTATATCAAACAAGAAAAAAATTGGCATAATTTTCTTTATTAATGTAATTATATTCTCAAGAATGTATCAAACATTTCTCTAGTTTTGTTGCAATATTTTACAGGTCAATATGGAACTTGGATCTTTTAACTGCTTTATTACCACCTGTAAGTCTTCTGCTACAGAGTAAATATGAAATGTAAGTTGCTTTTAGTTTCTGGTCTTTTGTAAAAGTGATTAAAATTTTCTATTATTTTTAGTTTTTACAATTCCGAGTATTATCTTATTTGTTGCTTTCAGGTATGTAACCTGTGGTTATAATGCTCTGAAGCTCATGATAAAAAACTTCGCTGTTATGATCAAGTCCAATATGTCTGGTCCAATACATTCAGTAGGAGTCGATATATCAAGAGAGGAAAGGTAAGATCTTTGTGGTAATATGAAATTTGTCTTTTACTAGCTGTTTTATGTATCTTGTATCTTGCCAGTTATTAGTTTTCATGTTTTTCAATTTTTTTAAATAACACTATTTTTTTTTTTTTTTTTTCAGGTACAATAAGTGTATAGAATGCTACAACCACATGATGTCAATCCGAGCCTTCCTTCTTAAACGACAAACTGTTCCAGGGAAGTTAGGACCTATGTATCGAGAGCTAGTAATTTTAATGCAAGCATTTGAATAACTTTTTTTTCCTTTTTTATGGGGGGGAAGACTAGCCTTGCATATAAACTGAATGAGAGAGAGAGAATAAAAGATCTCGTCATTCTTGCATTAGTGTTGCTTCTGGAAAATCATCATGCCCAGAAAACCATGATTACAAGGATAAGGTAAATATATTGATTATCCTTCACCATACTAGAAAAAATAGGTGCTTGGTAATGGAAACATACTCAAATTCTGCTTGAGAACAAGAATTTTGGTGAACATGATGGAAACATTTATCCCAAATTTTTTTTGTGTAAAACTGCACTTTAGCAATGAATGTAGGTGCTTCATAAACTTTTTTTATGTAATATAAACAGAAAAAATTAATGAAGTTAAGAAATGGGATTCTCTTGACTGAGAGCATCTTGGAGCCAATCACAAAACTCTATTCTCAAGTGTTTGTCAGTGTTGTCTCTGGCCATTATACAATGACGAGGTGTAGTAAGTTTCGTACAGATGTATGAGTAGATCATTAATTGTGCCTTCTCATTTCCTACTCAAGTCTGTATGTGATAGAGCAGAGGTAGTCAGTCATATGCAATATTATGGTATCAGACATGTTCCCTTCCTTTTGTGGCCATGTCATTTTCAAGGGTACGATTATGCAAGCTGTATGATTATTGGTCATTAATGAGAATGGTATATTATCATTCTTCACTACATTCATATACAAGTAACCTGTGAGTTTAAGGATTTCTCATTAGCCAGACTTCTTTGTTATTGATGTATTCATATAATAAGTATGATAGAGTCAACATTGTTAGCAATGTTATGACCTTGTCTTACAGCTTGTACACTACATGGCCATTACTTTGTCTCATTTAGGGTGAATTATCATTGAAATAGTTGTTGCAGAGGGAAAGTACTAGTAAGTACATTGTATAACTTGTTAATTTGTTAATCATGGCCTGCATGATGTTACAGTCAGGAATCACAACCATCCTTGTAACTCTAGAGGCTCTTTTGATTTTTCTGGATTGACTTTATTTTTTTCCCTTTTGTAACAGAGCCATGTTGCCCGCCTTGCCTTCTAGTCTTGGGCATAAATTCTTGACCCACCCCATGAGCATAAGTCTTTTTTCCTTCAGAAATAAGAAAAGAGAAAGTGTTTCTCAAAAATTTAGGTTTGAGCTTGTTGAAACTCTGCTCAAAGGTGAATGAGAATTTGTGTCTTGGTGCGCTCTAACCCTATGATCCCATGGTAGGGTCAGTGCCAAATAGCATTACATAAGATCACTTTCTTTTGTAAACATAGCAAATCATATTTCTTGAAAGCTGGATAATAAGGCAATGATGACTGATATCATTACTGGATTAATTTTAGAACATTTGCTTGAAAAGGTATTTTTCCAGGTTTGTGATATTATTTTACTATTTCTGAAATCCTGAAAATGTCACAGCTTTTCTAGTGATGGAAAGCAATGTTTAAGGAAGGAACTGTGCTCTACTGAATCGCAACAGATGCCATTATGGGTGCACCAGCACATGGGTCAAATAAAGGTATATTTAATGCTTGCTTTCAGCTATTTATTTTTGCAGTCAGTAGTCCTGTGCCTTTGTTTTTTTTTCCCCTAAGTGAAATGGATAACATTCTGTTCAGTTTTGATAATTTAATATAACTTTAATGGCTGCATGTAACTGGATAGCCTGCTATAGATATATACAATATACATTTACAGAGTTATGTTTTATAAGCATTAATAAAGGAATAAACTTTGTATATATAAATTCAGTTAACATAGCACTGTTTAATTTTTGTTTTAAAAAATTGCAGATATCTCAGTGTGATGGTTAAGTAACCAGGTTTTAAAAATGCTTTTGAAATGCTGGATGACATTCATTAAGTATAATTCCATCCATGTAATAAAGGTACTCATCTTCACCATAACATCATCAAAATCCCATGTTGGCACGTGTTTAAATGACTGCTGATTAGGCCAAGTTGTTACACAAGTTAACATCAACTTACACCCATTCCAAAGTAACAAAATGACTTAACCAAATAAGTTAGCATAAGTTTTTATTTAACCTTAAGTAATGGCTGTGTTGAAGGGTTAAACAATATTTGTTTATTAATTTTACACATTATCATTCAGTTCTGATGGAATATTGATTATGCTTTCTGTTATTTTTATGGATATATGTGGTTGCAAATGCCTAATCGTTGGTGCTCACAGTAATTATGGCTAAAATAGATCTCAAAAGTGTTTTGTTTGCTTCAAAGAATTTTTTTTCTTTACAGTGCTTTCACTCGTATGATAGTTTAGCATGCTTTATGAAAAGGATCTGTTGATAGTGTGTCTGTAAGTGAACAGTATCATTCATATTCCTGTATATCCATTTTCACAATATCAGTCTTTTTTGATGGAAGTGACAATAACACTTATTGGTTTTATCATTATATTAACATCTTGATCTGTCATAATGAAGTGACAAGATATGGAAAGTATTTATACTGTAAATAATATGGTGTACATAATTTGTGATAATAAAAATATTGTTAATTTCTGTTGTTGCCTTTTATCCTCTGCATAATTTTTCTAATTAACCACCAGTTCTTACTACCTTATTGGTGCATTTTATGATTCACAAATATCCCAGTTTTACAGTGGCCTAGCAATTACATTTATAAACACAATGAAAGTCTTACTCAATTAAATATATTCCTTTACTGGTGCATTTTTGTCATGAGTATGGAACCAACAGCTACACTCTTATGTTTCCTTAACCCACTGCCGCAGGGGAAAATGGGGAAAATACTCTACTCATTTTTTATATTTTTGTAAAATATCTCTTTACATAGATGGCTCTGCTAGTCCTGATTTCACCTTTCCTTAAATTGGCAGGAAAAAACGTATTCTTACTGGTGCTATAAATATTGATGGTGTTATTTTTAACGGCAAATTAGGATAACGTAAAATATTTTCATAAATCAATGAAAAGGGTGAACGGGCAAGACAGGCAGTACTCGTCACTGGCTCATTGGTGACTTTGTTTTTACACACAGATGGCTACACTTGTACTATCTAACAAGTCGACTTACAGTGGGCAAGGCATGTACATACATGCCATCCCGGCGGCAATGGGTTAAGATGAGCTCCACAATTTTCACCTAAAAGGGATTAATCATATAACTTTTATATATATCCTTTTATTAAAACTGATAATATATTACCTGGAATATGGCTTATCTTATGGAAATTAATTAAATGAAGAAAACATAAAACCAATTCCTTAAAATTTCTACAAGATACATAATAATACAACTTCTATAAATAACAAGTACATTGCCTTTCACTGGCAAATAAAATAACAAATATACTGCTTTTCACTGGTACATAACACCACACAATTGGTCCTTTCAACATGCTACAACAGGTGACTGTAAATCCAGCAAGCCAGAACCTTACATTACTTCAGTGATTGTCTATCGGAACTGTAGTGGTGATATGCGAAGCCCAATGGAATCCTTGCCAACTTGTGCAACATCACAAACTTTGCAAGTAATACCCTTGTGCTCTGGCAGATATGATGCACCACACAATGGGCACTGAACTTCTGGCTTTCCACGGTAAATGGGTACATATGAACTTGCACATACAGTGAATGGGTTATGCTCATCATACTGGATTGACATCTCATCAACTGGGTTCTTCTCGCATGCCTGTAAAATGGGGAGAAAAAAAAGGTCATGTTTAATAATTGACTAGCTATGATCACATGAAACAAAATGGGAAAATGTGATAAACAATTCTATAACACCAATCTACAAACCACAATAATACTGTCAGTCACATACCTGAACAACCTTCCTTATATTCTGAGCCACTTCCGGTCTGGGTCCAAGATTTAGCAGACGACGACCAAAGCTCATGGCCATCTTGTAATTCTTCATCTTAAAGGCCAAATTCACTGCAGTTCTCAGTGTCAGAATCTGGTGCCCAGGTTGTAGTTCACAATGTGTGAAGTAGGCAGCCAATTCAAGGGAGCGCTGTTGTTCTTCTGGACTACTCTTACCCAAACCTTTACGATACAACTCCATGCTGATACCAACAACATACTCCTTGCACACTCTTAGCAGATTCTGTGCTTCTGTAATCTGTAAACAGACAATATTTCATTAATTTCACATTAAGAACCTTTACAGAATTGCAATCAGTATACTAAACACACCCTCTCTAAACTAAAATCTTGGATGCATTACATTTTATTCTTTATAAGGTACCCTCATGCCCACTGTCACATCCCCTGGAGCATTGCCTAAGGGAGAACAGAATGATCAATGCTCTGACTGGATTTTGTTTTATATAAAGGGCAATATTTAGCCCTCTGCTATTGTGATTGCCTTGGAATATGACAAAAAAGGGAAGAACTGAAGCTATAGGAGTAGCAGCAACTGCATATAATCTCTAATGTCATAAGAATAAGATTCTTTTATCCCTCAATAAAACCACATTCCATCAGTCATACAAACAGAAACTATATTGTTTTCTGGGTGCAAGAATGGTTGCATCTGAAAAAGGCTCTAGAGGACAGCTTAGCACACCACACATACTCCTAAAGAGGAGGCCAAGTGAACTCCAAATTCTCCTGGAGGCATTGGTTCAAGCATTTCTTTCCAAACCAAAACAGGAATAACATATACTTTTGACCACATACATTTTCCATAATTTAATCCCTTGATGACGGGTGAAAAAAAAAAAAAAAAAAAAAAAAAAAAAAAAACAGCCAACAGCCACAGCGTACAGCCGCACCACAGATCAAGCGGTTTGTTTTGATGCCTCATGGCATGACCCGTTGGGAAGGGGTTAATGGACAACAAATAAACAAGCCACCAGTGATTTAAACTTAAATTTCATATACAAATGAATGGATATAAATTTAGAGAGCTGAAGTAACTAACATCCTGCAACAGCACAACACATATAAAAAAAGATTCTAGAAATGATTAATTAACACTGACCTCTTGCTTTGTATCCACAACAACGAGAGGGACGGCAAGTAAAATCCAGCGCAGTTTATCCAAAGCCTCTGAAAATTTGGCTGCTGTTGTCAACTGAGATGCTTCCTACAAAGAGAGAAGTATGGTATTAGTGTCTACACAGTAACAATGTCATAAAGCAAAAAAATATCAACATCCAAAGTGATGTTAAATAAAATCACAAACTTACCTTAAGTCTATCCATTAGATTTGAAAGCTTTAATCCTAGAGCAGGTAACTGATCCTTGTTCTGTGCAGTTCGCCAATTACGAGCTGGGTACGCAAAGAGGGATGGCATTGCAGGAGCACCAGTGTAGCTTGTGCGGGAATGGGCATAAGATGAGAGGAACAGCTGACGGTATGGTTCGAAGTTCACAACTCCCACCTTTTCAAAGAGTGATATCAATTAATACCTGGACAGTAATGTCTGAGAAATATGAACTGATGCAATGTGACTTTCATAAGGCACATACTTATTTAAGATACTCAAACTTCAGATGAATGGTTTTCTACATGTATTTTGTTGTCATTCATTTATTTATTTATTTAAAAATTACTTGTTAGATATTCCATTCAGTGTTTAACAACTTTTCCCATAAAAATACTTTTGTTTAAATGTATTGTAACACATACAATAATTTCTCACCTGATCATGAAGTAATCGAGTAGCCGACTCAAAAGCTCCAGCCAAGACATGATCAATTGCCAACTGACTTCGCTGTGTCCATCCGTGGGTTGGTGGGTGTCCACGGGGCGGAGGGATGAAGAAGCCATCCTCACCAGATCCTCCAGCACCAGCTGAAACAGATCCCTCAAGTTCTGGTGGCAGGTCCAGGTCATCATCCACCTCCCATCCACCTCCTTCAGCATCTCCACCTGAAAGAAAACATATAATTATATCATACAAGTCAAGCTTTAACAACAACAAAAATATTAAAGTGCACATCCACAGGTTTCTTTCAACCTACCTTCTACGGCCAAATCAGCATCTTCAACATTCTCCTCATCATCATCTCCCCATCCATCACCAGCAATGTCCCCAGCATCATCAACCACCATGGCAGCTGCTGCAGCTCCTCCAGCTGCTTTGCCTCCAGCAACAGCAGTATCAAAGAAGCCCTGTCAACAGAAAATTGTTATTTAGGCTTTCTAATGACTTAGTAGGGACAGTGTAAATGAACAATTCTCTTAAAGAGGAGTTGAAGACAAGACATTATTGGAAGATGTCTCACCTTAGCAACAGTTAAGAGTGGCCAAGCTGTGTCCATAGGCTGCACAGGAGCTGCTGGTTGTAACAGCTGAGCACTTGGAAGAGGTTCTGGAATAGCTCCATTCTCAACATGAGCAGCCAGGGACTCTGCTTCCTGTGTGGAAAGATTTGTATTACAGATTATCATTATTTTCTTTTACAAATTCATAAACAGTTACAAAAGGCAATTAAGATTCAGCACTACTTATAAACAATATAATCAGATATTCATTCATCTGTCTCTGACTTTCTGACATTACCTGTGCATAGCCATGTGTGACTGCTGTCAGTAGAGCTAAAGATGTTTTGCCACATGCTTTTAGAACCCTTATGCGTTCTGGGACATCACCCAAGTAGAGTGCATTGGCATACCAACCCTCATAATCCTTGCGAATTTCATTGATCTTCATCATGCGGCGCAACTTAGCCAAGTTTCCAGTAATCAAGTACAGGAATGACAGCTTATCATAGTTTTTGGTCTGCTGATAGCAATACTCAACCACCTGCAATATAATAATTGGTTCTTGAACACAAAGTGCAGTTCAAAAATAATACACATTAAGGAAGACATTTAAAATGAGAAGATATTCAGGAAGAGCAAAACATTAAATAATTCACTTGTTATTTTGCAAGGTTTTATCCCACACCTATTATGAGTCATTGCCATTGCATAAGTATAGTTAAGCACAAAGTAATTATTACTTGAGGATCTCAAGGTTTTTATGCACCAACCTAACCTATCAGAGAACAACTTGCTACCAGACAAATGCAGACACTCAAACAGAATAATTAGAATATTAACCCATTGGATCTAGTTGCATCACGACAATGAAATCACCAAAAATCCAGGCATTAGGCTTATGTTAGCAGCCACTCTGCCTGGTGGCTACTTGCAGGCTAGGCACACATGAACATGTGTCATGACTATGCCTCCTATTTGCAAAGTTATTTACTCTTTTTATGCATAAGCATTTTTAGCTTTTTGGCCATTCTACAATGTCTCACAGTGCCAGGAATTTCATGCTGAGCATGGAAATGGCATCCCCATGTACCCAGTGCTCTTCTAGTCACCAGTCAAGGACAATACATTCCACACTTGTACATCAATGGGAGGAATGCAAAATTGCCAAATGAGTAAAATGACCTCCCGATAGGTTTGTGCACTCATGGTGAGTCTTTTCCATCACCTCAGCCTTCAGCCAAAATGCTCGCAAGGGCAGGATTGTGTCACCCAGCCTACAGCCAGATTTTCCCGTGACAGCATGTTCACGTCACCTG